CATACACACTCATTACAACGGCGCCCTGCACATAGGAAGTGTGCACTGTGCACAATGTGAGCAATTAAATAGAATTATGTATTTACTATTTTAATAAATTCTAACATGTCTATTAGACACACAGTATGAATAAATACATTTCTAGGTATTTTGCAGTTCAGAATTAAATCATTTATCTAAACAATTTAAAGGGGGCGGCGCCCAAGCGCCCCCTACTGGCCAGCCGCCACTGCTATGGTCACAAACTTTGGGTAGTGACCAAAAGAAAGAGATTGCAGATACAAGCAGTCAAAATGAGAGTAGCTGGACTCTCCCTTAGAGATAGGATAAGGAGTTCAGTTATCCGGGAGAGATTCAGAGTAGAGTTTTTGCTTCTTCACATTAAAAGGATTCAGTTGAGGTGGTTTGAGAATCTGGTAAGGACGCCCTCCAGGCGCCTTCCTAGGGATGTGCCCCTGGCATGTCCAGCAGGGAGAAGATCCTGTGGAAGGCCTAGGAAACACTGGAGAGACTATGTCTTGGCGGGCCTGGGAACACCTTGGAATCCTCCAAAAAGATCTGGAAGAGATGGCAGGACCTCCCTGCTGAAGCTGCTGCCCCTGAGACCAGACTCTGGATAAAGTGGAAATAATGGATTGCCCCGTTTCAGTTTATTGTTTAGTTTTATGTTTGTAAATCAAGTAATAATGGCAGGGTTTTCATGTTTGGTTTTTGTTAGACGATGGTCACACTCATATCTTTATTCTTCACCATTATATCCCGACTGTTGAAACAAGCATTTATTTCAGTCTTTAACGAGAACATCTCATGTTTGGGTGAGTTCCCATTTCCTGTTGCTGTAACTCTTTCATACAACTGTTGGATATTTTGTAACTGACTAACTAAATTTTAGATAGATACCTACATTTTTATATTTTGGGATGGATTGTAACCATTTACTTTAAACAGAAAATGATGATGTCTCTGTTTAATATGTTCTTCTCTTCATCAGTATAAACATGTAATGTTTTACATGTTAGAAGCATTTACCTCCTTGTTTAGTATGACATCATACTAAATGGAACTGGACTCGGACATGAAGCTGTGGGTTTCTTGTTATTTCCTGGATCTTCAGGAATGGACCAGATCTGAGTTATGTGTGGTAACTTTGTATGTCTGCAAATAAATATTCAAGTCTGAGAATTAAATTGATCTCCGGTGCATGATTTGCTCTCTCATTTGAGCATGAACTTTCACAACATTTGCTTTGTTTCCACACTATCATATTTAATTTTGAGTATTGTTTAAGATCTGACACTTGGCCTTCCAACAGAACATTTGTCTTATAGTTGTCTTCATTTCACTTTTGTCAAAGTCTGTGGTGGGGATTGGAAAGACAACCAGATCAGTGTTTCCCCTAGGAAATTGGTCTTGGTGGGGCTATTTGTTTTGTAAAAATGTAAATTTACGCGACTCACCTTCAATTATGGTAATAAATTTACACATACATGAATATTTAATTTCCTAACTACATCCT